AGTTTTCCCTGTGCATGATAAAGTTAGAATTAGCCTTTGATATTTCAACTCCTCGAAGTAAACGTGTCTTAAATGGACAATTAACTAAGAAGAATGGCTTTAAAAACTTTGTAAACTTTAGAAACTTTTCTTTCGTCATGTTTATAATGTTGAATGGCTCTGGGTTTTTGCGAGAGTTCTTGAAAACACTCCTCCAATCATCTGGTGTTTCAGCTGGAAATTTTTGATTCACAATAGCCATGTCTCTGTCACATTCCATATAGGAATGAGTTTTTATTTTGTCCAGCACATGAATCTTAAAAGAACTTAATATGCTTAATATGAGGTAATGGATAATTAAAAAAATCATGAAGCGCAGAGCAAACATCATCCTTTGTTGCCTACGGTTTCATTGAGTAATAAAAATATGCTTTTTGAGTAGAAAGTATGTGAATGTTGAAAGAGTAAAATGACAGTTGCCTGGAGTAATACACATCTTGTGTTGAAATGTTGGGGCATTTTAGATTTTTTTGGTAATCAAAGCAAATTGCTTCACATTCAAAATTGTTCTGAGCGTATAGACGTGCAGCTCTCTTCCTCTGGTAAAATATTTCAGCTTTTCTTTGATGAAGCTCAAGTGATGCAGTTAAAACATTTTTATTTAGTATAAAATTTTTAGCAGCATCAGACATTTTGAAAATATTCAAGTCTTCTGAAAGGTAAAGCCTGGTAGATTTTGTTCTAACATAATGAGTAGATCGTCCTTGAAATGACTTAATATACTGCACTATCATACTAATGTTTTCAGCAGAAAAAGCATGACTTATGTTTTTAAGATGTCCTCTCAGGTCTTTACATGGTAGACCTAATAATTAAAAATAGTAATATAGTATATATGTATATATACTTTTATATATAACGTATTGGTTAAATAATTTTCAATGTTATATCCTTACAACATAGTTTTTTGTTATGATTTTTCAAATTTAAAATAGCTTAGTACCAGTATATTATAAAAATATCTTAAACTTGTAATTTTCAAAAAGTGGACATCTGTGGTTTTACCCGTGTAGTCTTCATATATATATATATATATATATATATATATATATATATATATATATATATATATATATATATATATATATATATATATATATATATATATATATATATATATATATATATATATGTTGCCTTAAAAGCCCTTTTAGATCAAAAATCACAATTCAGTGTTTTTTATTGTGCTGTGGTTATTTTTTGTGATTGCAATGTGAACTTAAGCCTAATTTAGCTCAATTGTCCAATATTTATTTTCTTAGATTTTATTGTTGAAAAGCTCCAGGTTTTTTTGTTAAAAATCAAAACATAACTTTTTTTTTTCTTTGGATTTCTCTTTATTTGAATATCAGGTTGATCTATTTTTAAGAAATAATATCAAAAAAATAATATAAAATTTTTTAAGAAATAATATAAAGGACCCGTTAAATAGAAAATGGATTTGAGCGTGTACTAAATATTGAACAATTTAAATTAAATGAGGCTTAAATTAATCTTAAAAGATAACCACAGCACATAAAAAACACTGAGTTCTGATTTTTTTATCGTGCTGAACCTGACCTAAGTCAGGTCAGGTTCAGGATCACCATGAATGCCCTACTATTAATATTGTGTAACCCATTATATCTGTCCTGTGCTCTGCTGCCTTGTAGAGTTTGCTTTTTTAGGCAAAGACTAAGAGAAACAAACTCTAACTTAAAAACTCCCTGTTTAGGGGCACTTGATTAAGTAAAGACTAGAGATGGTGTCTTGATAAAATAACTCATCTTGGGCAGATGTCAACTGCATCCAGCTACTGTCTTGTAGACTTAAGGGGTTAACAAAATCTATCTGTTGACCGGCCTTGCACCCCTTCTTTATCTATTAGACTGCCATAGATGTATTTGTAAAACATTGTTTCCAGTTTAGGATGTCAAAAAATGGATCCATCAATTGACATCCTAAACTGGAAACAAACTTCTTGACTCATTACATGGGTTTTGCTTGTGACTTTGTTTTTATGACTAGGCAACTCGTTCTATTATCTCCTAATAAGGGGACAGCATTAAAACTCGGTTTTATGGTTCAGAGGCTGGCTCATAGTTAGATTTCCCAAACTCTGTGGTAGCTCTCAGAGAGGATGATTCCATCAACAGATGTAAAATATCAGAGTACTAATAGTGCCATGCTGCGCATAAATGGTGTCCCTGTTTGTACTTCCTCAAGGTTTTATCTTTGGCCCTATACTTGTTTTAATTTGCATTAATGATCTCCCTGAAATTCTCTCATCTTAGTTGGCATTGTTTGCTGATGATACTATAATTTATTCTTGCCTTGATAATAAGTTAACACTCTCTCATTGCTTGGAGGGACATTTGAGCTTGAAAAGGATCTTACTTCTGCTCAGCATTGGGCTCTCAGCGGCTGGTGAACTTTCATTCAGATAAAACCGTATTTTTTTCAGCTAATTGTTTTCGCAACAATTTAGATTTTCCTATATTTATGAATGGTAATGTACTTCTTTTTCTCTTTTCTATAAATACTATAATAGGCACTGTTCTAAAGAGCTAGCGTCTCTTTAGAACAGTGCCTATTATACTAAAATGCTGTGCCATATACTAAAATCCATTCTTGTGTTACATTTCATTCAATTAAGTCTCGTTTTTTTACTGTGGCTGTTCTTAAGCGCTCCAAAAATATTTTTCATCGAACATCAGTTCTTTGGAATTTGCTCCCTTATTTTCCTGACTCATCTAATTTACATTCTTTTAAGTCACTTGTTAATTGTTATCTTTCTTTATTAAGTTAATATTTTCTCACCCTGTATTTTCCAACTCTAATATTGGTTGCTTGCAGCCTTGTCGAAAGTGAAGATATTTTTCTTTCTCTCTCTCTCTCTCTCTCTTTATATATATATATATATATATATATATATATATATATATATATATATATATATATATATATATATATATATATATATATATATATATATATATATGCTCAAGATAAATAAGATAGGAAGAGTTTTTTTTTTTTTTTTCAAGATAAACAAGAAAGAATTTTTGAAGAGTTCAATTTTAATGAAAGTAAGTTTTTTTTTCAAAACTCAGGTCTAAAATGTTTTAAAAATCTAGAAATTATGAAGATATCTCTAATATTGCCAGTATTAAGTATGGTTTTGGTTTAAGAACAACTGGAGAACAACTTTAAGAGCAAAAGGATCTGACTAAGGTATTTTTAACTGTAGGCGGATGAGACAGACAGTAGATTAAATTAAAGGAATGTATTTTCCTGTCTGGTTTAACATCAAAGTTAAGCATAGTTGGGTAGAAGGACCAAAACATGGTCTTTACCAGCTTAATTTGTTTCAACACCAGTTACTAGATAAATCTGCTTAGTATGCCTTCTCCGAGTCTGGTGTTGCCACACTCAAGCTGTCGAAAAATTGATAAAAAAAGTCACCCAAACGTGTGAAAATATTTTCACAGAAGATAGGAGAGATGGTTGGGTTAAGGACATGAGTTATCACAGAAATTAATGTTGTGTAATCTATTCAAACAAAACTATATTAGCTTGACAATGTTTAAGAAATAATCTTTATTATAATAATGTACTGAATTTTATTGTGCCAGTAAGTATGTTTCATGGATCTATAAAAAGCATTTTATCTTTAGTTCTATAATAACCTTATTTTTAACTTTTAGTGGTGAGATGATGGAGGGGAACCCTTTTTCTGTTTTATAAAGATAAAATTATTGTTTTATAAATAGAGAGCGCTTTTAAGAATTTTAAAGATTAAAAAATTACAATTTAAATTTTAAAGATTAAAAAATTACTATTTATTTAGTTCTGACTATCCCCCTCTTCCCCTCTCCATTTTCTTCTCTCCCACCATCACCTCCTCCTCCTGGACTTTTGGTGAAACACTGTCTCTGAATCAAAAAAGGAGAGCAACTTTTTTCCCCTCTTGTTTCCTGCACAAATAGTTCTTCACGATTTGCAGAGTCTTTGTACCCAAGAATTGATCTTGGTCTTGTACGTTTGGCATATTCGAATTCCTTAGAAAGCAATAAGCTATCTTAAACATTTTTTTCAGGCATAGCAAGCACACAAGCTTTCAATTTTCATCTTGAATCTCTGCTTTATTTGGCATTGCGGCAATTCATTAAATTAAACTTTACTAAATCAAACTTTATCTTTTACAAAATTTAACCTAAATTTATATTGGATAACACTCCATAAACATACTTAATTAACCTAAATTTATATTGGATAACACTCCATAAAATTATTAATTAAAAACTATAAAAATCAATGAGGCATTTACAGTTAACTGTTCGTTCATACTCTAAAAAGTAGCATGACCCAGTTTTTTTTAATATAATTCATATAATTCAAGAAAATTATATGAATTGTAAAAAAAGTTTTTCACCACACCAAATTAAAATCGGCTTAAACTTGAAAAGCTCTATTAAAACACTTCAAAATAATATTATTTGCTTTGTAAAGTCTTAAAAATAAACAAATTTATTCTCTAATATTTATTAATATTGTTATGTTATTATATAATTAATTTATTGTTTACATTTATATCATAAATGTAAAGAATATTATATTTAGTTGTATAAAATAGTTATCTTTCTTTTTAAAAAAATTGACAGTTGTATTTTTTATTTTTTTAATATATACATAAACACCGTCGGTCAAAAGGTCGAAATTCTAATTGGTTCATCAAAAGAACACAATACTAATTGTATCATCAGCTATACTCTCAAAATTTACAAAAAGAAATAGTAAAAAGATAGTCAATTTTGAAAACTACTGTTGTTATTTTCAAGATTGACTATGTCTACTGTTTTCAAGTAGAAACTTTTGACCGACAGTGTACAGAATTTATTATAATTTTTTGTATTGTCGTTTTGTTTTAAAAATTGAATATATAACGCTGACTTTTACTATGCATTTTGCGTTACTTTTAGAAGAAAACATTGACATCACCTTTAGAGTAGAGGAAAATAAATCACCACAAGAATCTAGTTCTAATAGCTCTGATAGGATACCATCTAACGATAAAGAGGAGCAACGGATTAGAGATAACGTCAGAAGTCATTTTCATAACAATGGTAATCGAAAAAGACGTTTAAGTAGCGATTCGTGGGATGCGCATGAGCGCGGGTCAAAACATTTTGAGGAACCAGATCAGTATTTTCAGAGCAATCATATAAAAAAAAATCTGGTTATTGACATGTCGCAGATAGCTTCCATAAAAATGAAACCTCATAGTGATTGCGGCAGTGCAGAAATAATTCAATACATAAAGCGAGTAGAAGATAAGTTGGATAGCATTATCAAACACTTTAATGTCCCTTATATTGCGAGTAGTACTGAAAAGTTTCAAAAACAATCGTTTCCATCGTCAGCTGCTTTTTCTGAAAAACATCACTTTAAAAAATGTTCAGAAAATTTAAAAATGCCTCTCTCTCACGATATGAATACAGATCAAAATTCGATGCAGTGTGATTCTTCTCCGATTATTTTAAATGATCAAATATCTACAGATCTTGTGAAGCAGGTGTTTCAGAAAAGCAGAAATCGCGGTAATTTTGCAAAAAACTTGGTGTACGTTGTTTTTTCAATAAGTGAAAGAACTGGTCGAAATTGTTACGGTAGACGTGGCGGAGCTTTAAGCGGCTATAAATATCCATTAGATCAAAAAAAGTTACGAGCAGTTAGAAATGCAGTTTTTAAAATGTTTCCAGTTGAAAACACGGAAGAAGAAGAAGCAATCTGGAAAAGAGAATGCGTCATTGCTATTGACACTGCACTTCGCGGAGAAATGAGAAACCGAATATTAAATATAAAAAGCGCGGATAATGTTGACTTAAATGCGACAACGTAGTTAATTGATATTTATCGAATTTTAATAAAAAAAGTCTTATTAATTAATAAAAAAAAAATTATTTGAGGGGGGGAAGGCTTCTGTTTTTAGTTTTGATCTGTTTACTTTTAATTTTGATGAACGTATATGATTTAAGCGCATGTGTATTGTAGTGTGTATCAGGGCTTTAAACAAAACTTCAGAGTGCAATATTTTCTCGTGGTCCTGTTTATAATATTTTCTCGTGGTGCTGTTTTTTAACTTTTCCTGTTTTTTAGATTCCTGTGAGTAAATGTCACCATAAAATACTTACGATTTTAATAAGTGTAAAAAGAGCACTATTATAAGGTCGGTCACTTCTCCAAAAACAGGCCTATAGATGATAAGATTAAAATTAGAACTTCTTTCAAAACGTATAAACAGTATTTTTGTTTGATGATATCTTTATAATGCCAAAAAGCCTATTGAGGTGCGTCATTTAAAAAGACATCATAGTTTGTTAATTTAATAATTAATTTAAAAAGTTAATTTAAAATAGTCTTAAATGTTTGTGTTTAAATAACAGTCTTAAATGTTTTAAGAATGCAGTAAAATAAAAAAATTATTTTGAATTAGATGGTTATGTTTGTGTATGTTATGATGGTTATGTTTGTGTATTTTATGTTGAAATATTAAGAAGTTATAGAATAAAAAAATAATGTTCCGCTCACGGTGGTCAATTAAAAATTAAAAAAAAATAATTTTCCATGTGTTTATTTTCTCATTCAAATAATATGTAATAGATCAATTTTTTTTTATTTTATGTGTAAATTGTTTTTCTCCTCCTTTTTTGTGGTTCATTCAATAAAAAAGAATTTTTTATTTTTACATTCTGTTAAAAACAAAATTCTTTATCTATTAAAAAAAAAACTTCCATCAAAAAATGTTTCCAGTTAAAAATAAATTACACATTCTGAACGATGACCAGATTTTAGTACACTTTTTTTGATAGTGATACACTTACTGTGTATCACTATCAAAAATCTTGACCTTCTTACCTAGTTTGTGCGACTTTTACCACTACCACCAAATTCTTTGCATAGCTCCGACCCTAATCAAACTTGATTTATATTTTTTTAAATATTTTATATATTTCTCGTGCAATTTGCATTATGTCAAAAGCAAATAAGTTTACAATTCGTGTAACTGGGATAGCTAAAAAATATTTGAAAAGTTACGGAAACGGCCGTGGCGCAGTGGTTAGAGCGCTTGCTTTATAACCAGGAGACCCAGGTTCGAAACTAGCTTTAAACGTCACAGTAAGGAAGGAGACGTGAACTTTCTGGTTAAATGCACTTCTGCGGTACTCTGTGACAAGACCGTTAAGCTTCTTGGGGCACCTAAAATAAAAAAGAAAAGAAACTGTAAGTTAAATATATACAGTATTGGACAAAACATTTGCAACCAACATCGAACAATGCTAAAAAGTGTTCCTAATTTCACATATCTTAAAAACGAAACGAACTATACTACCACAGCAAACAGTTCAGGAGTCTGGAGTCAGCATACCATGACATGAGCAATCAGGTGCCAGCACACAGGCAGAATTTCGTTGACAAGTGCCATTTTGCAGCGGACAAAACAAGTGCAACTTTTTTGGTTTGTTTCATTTTCTTAAGTCTGGTCCGTGCCAACGTCACGGAAGTTTTTTAATAATTAAAGGAAGTATCCAGAAGCATCTGAAAGGGTCCAGAAACATTCAGAAGCATCCAGACGCATTCAAAAACTTCCAGAAGCATCAAAAACAAGCATCTAGAATCTTCCAGAACATGTTTATTTTACTATATAAGAGACATGTAAACCGACATGTAATTCAGTCAGTATATGGAAGTCAATCAGTATTATCAAGACAGTTTATCGAAGTGAGTTTTATCAAAGTGTTTTATCAAAGAACATCAATACAAGAAGTGAAATACAACAATTGTTTCATTAGATTAATACAGTCCGCATCCAACCAAAACGTTGTGTTCCACAGAGCATTATTATATTATCACAAGGTAAATGTAACACGGTAAGCCTTGAAAAACGTGATTATTTATTTTTATTATTTTTATGACTTCAAGTGCAAAAATGGCTCCCGACAGTCTTGGATTGGAACTAAGAAAGAAAACTATTGGCGATTACGTAAGTGGAATGTCACAAAAAAGTATTTGTGATAAATATCGCGTGAAAAAATGGACCGGATCAAAACTTTGTTCCAAACATCGTTCTACGGGGAAGTTGGCAGCAGACAACAAAGATGAAAGGTCGCGTTTTACCACTTCTAGAGAGAATTCTATAATCGTCAGATCCGTCAAGAAGGGTCCCTGGATATCATCAGTCGAGATATAAAAGCAATTAGAGCTGCCTGTATCGGACCGAACAATCAGACAACATGCTGTTGAAGCCGGATTGTTTTCTCGACACCCTGCAAAGAAACCCCTAATTTCACTAAAGAACCAGAAGAAAAGACTCCTGTTTGCTTATCTTATATTGACTGGAATGTGCATAAATGGCAAACTGTCCTGTTCAGTGATGAATCGAAGTTCAACATCATTGAGAGCGATGGCGTTTGGCGTGTACGTCGACTGGCCGGAAAATGCCTCGATTTACGTTACTGCCATAAGACCGTAAAGCATGGTGGAGGCAATGTAATGGTCTGAGGGTGTTTTTCTGCTAATGGTCTAGGTCCAATACATCAAGTTTTATAATTTCAATTTTTATTAAAAAAAGTTATTGTAAATTCTTTTTGTAATATTAATACTTATATATCATCTTATTTTACTAATCAGTTCTTAAATATAAATACTCTTTGAATTACTAAATATTTTAAACGTTATATTACAAAAAGAACGGCTTGGCACGAAAGTGCCAAGCCGTTACTCAAGGAAATTAATGCGCTAAACGTATACGAACTAAATATATACCATAACTTGTTATTTATGTTTAAACTTCAAAATGAACTAATTCCAAAATATTTTTATAAAGGTTTCTCTCTAATTAACCATAAATATGAAACAAGACACTCAATAAATAATTACTACATCCCACCAACATCACTCAAAAAATCTGACTTCTCAATTACATGTCGGGGGCCACGCTTGTGGAAGTCAGTTCTTGACGAAAATATGAAAAAAATAAAATCTATTGATATATTCAAAAGAACTATAAAAAAACACTTACTAAACTCAAACATTACATACATTCTTTCATTTTTTTAAAAATAATATTTTTTTGATAAATTTGATAAAAAGTTTTTTTTTTTTTTTTTTTTTTTTTTTTTTATATATATATATATACATATATATCTTTCTTGTTTGATTTTCTCTTTGACTGTTTTTTTTTTAACTTTTTTTAATAAATACTAACAAATGAATTTAAATCTACATAACGTTTGGAATCTTTTTAATATATAAATATTTTTGAATATATACTTCGCTTTGTATTGAATATGTATACGTATATGTACTGATTTGTAAAAAAAAATTCAAACTTTTTAATTTACGCATTGTATACATTTTTATTTTTTTATTTCGAGATTTTATTATTATTATTATTTTTTTTTTTTCTTTCTAATTTTTACTTTTTTTAATTTTTAATTTATTTTAAACTTTTTAATTTTTTTCAATCTTTTTACTTTATTTCAAACTCTTTAAATTTTTTTATTTTTATTTTAATTTTGTTTGAATGTTTGTTTATTTTTTCAAAATTTTTAATTTAACTCTTTTTTATATTATTGGAATTTTAGAAATTTTATATTTCTCTATTTCACAAAAGGGCTTGATGATAAGACTTTATGTCTTCTACTTGCCCCTGTCAGCTTGTAATTATATATATATTTATTCGAATTTAAAGATAACATTGTAAAATGTGTAAAACGACAAAATAAACTAACTATAAACTAAAAAAAAGTTGATGGAATAATGGACCGTTTCATGCATAAAAATATCCTGAAAGATGTTATGTTACCTCATGCTAAACGAAATATGCCAATAAAATGGGTTTTTCAGTAAGACCACGATCCGAAACACACTGCAAAAGTAGTCAAGCAGTGGTTTCAAGGCAACCATCCAGATCTCAACCCTATCGAGAACCTGTGGGAGATCGTCAACCGCAGAATTATTCGTGAAGGTGTTCGTAATAAGAACCAACTGTTTGAACAAATCCAAAAGGCTTGGGCAGCGATTCCACAAAGCGATCACCTGATTGAATCTATGCCTCGAAGATGCAAGGCTGTGATCGACAACAAAAGATTCGTCACGAAATATTGATAGCGAAATACAGCTTGGTCAACATTTTGTAGAGTTGTATTTGTTTTGTCCAGAAGGAAATCAACTTTTTTTAATACTTTTGATTAATTTATTAATTATAGTGTACAAATAACTAACTTTGTGATGAATAAAACTTGAACAACGTTGTCTCTAAACAGTTACATAGTTATTTCTCTAAATTAAAAAAATGTCTCACTTTTATATAAAGAAACTAAATTGGCATTACTTGGTTGCACTTGTTTTGTCCGATACTGTATATGAGGGTCTTTCATAATTGGTTCTAGGAAAAAATCCCCCTGAAAATAATCCCCGGCAAAAAAAGAAATATTTTTTGAAATTCTTGTACAATAAATGTACTCTTAGCATGTTCTACCCATTTATCAGTCAGTTTATAAAAAATGAAGGATTAAGGTTTTTTTTGTAACATAACATGTATGTATAAAATATTTATGTTATAAACAACTATTGTATAGATATATATGCGTGGTAAAAAAATCCTAGGGGATTTTTTATGTACGTACGCAGGTATGGAGGAGATTTACCCAAAATCGTACAGATACGTGCAAGGGTGGGGGAGGGGTAAAGATAGCAAGTACGCACGCAATACTTACTGTCTGAGGGTCGCGGGTTATTTAATCGTAGGTGAGTATAAAACGTTGAACTCTATAATATTTTGAAACATTTATGTGTTAGGGAGGGGTTAATTTTGTAATAAACAATGTGTTCGTACGCAGAGGGTGTTCGGCAACTGAAATAGCATCTGAAAACTTAATCTGTGTTAACTCCAACTTGGTATTTGTTGTAATTCGTTTGTAATTTGTTGTAAGAATTGGTTTAGTGGAAAATTAATAATAAATGACAGCGTTATTTTTTTCTTTGACACATAAGAAGATGTAGTAGAGTCATTTTGAAAAGCAGAAATA